ATTTACAACGAAATTCATGTGGATTCCCTGAAAAACTGAATTATGGGAGGTTTATGAGAAATATGCGATGTTCCCAAGTTCTTCACTGTTCTATGGACTATTTGGAGCAATGTGATGGAATCAAAGGGAGGAGAAAACCAAATTCACTTGTTTAGCGTGCTTTCTCTATGTGAAATCCCCTAATTCATGATAAACTTGGTTTTCTGAAAGAGTTTGAGTCTTGGAAGACAAAAAATGCTTTAGTTAGTTCCGATCAACTATTTTGAGCAAAATATAGTATTATGTAGGAAGAAAATCATAAAATTTGATTTGTAGAAGGTATGCGCAATGTGTCTTACCTGTTTCAACTTGGAAATTCTTGTGGGAAGGTTCCTATACGGCTTAATGGCTCATGATCATATTCTTCACTTAACACAGTGTAGTGGAAACAAAAACCAATTATCCAGGGCGTTACGGATTGCGCCGTGCCTTCCCCTTTCCAAGAAATTGCGGAATTGATTGGTTTGAAGATGATCGTATTTCTCCTAATCGGTTTCGAGGGTATTGAAAGCTAATTCTTTGGCCGGCGTTGTTACGCCATGCTTTATAGTATGGAGGTGTCGTCTCCAAATTTATGGTTGCGCAGCGTTCATCATACACTGTAGGATTGTACTATAGGTGTGGTCCTAAGATGTGAGCATTGTAATTTTGGTAGCTCAGTCTGCTTCTGATGATGGCTCGGGTGCGCCGCGCAAACGTTCTTTTTTTGTTTTGATGGTTTTTTTTATTTCTTCGCAGTTTTCCCATGCTTCGAAATATCAATTGCTGCCTGAAAAGTATACTGTGGAAAGCTCATATATGTTTTCAGATGGAGCCACGTAAGGATCTCGCCCAATATTACTCCCATTATCCTTGGGGCGACCCCGAGGTCGACTTTTCGTCGGGCTCAGAACTCGAAGAAGTGGATGCTGTAGAAGCCAATGCTGCCCAACCCGGAGAAGTGAGATTTTTTAAAATTGGACTTGCAGAATGATTTTTTTATATGTGGTTTTTAGAAAGACTGCAGAGTTTGCGTCACCGAAAGACGATGGAAAGTGAATCTAGGTGCCCTAGTAGTTCACGAGCAGAGGAGAGCGCTGAAGGAAGCGAGGGATCTGCCCTCTTCATCGCTTCTTCACGGCTGATCGCAAGGATCAACCGTGAAGAAGCTGAAATGAAGAGGGCTTTCAAGAAAGCCAATAGGCTCTATCTACGTGCAGTGGATGTGCGTAAGCTAGTTTCCACAGTTTTTCATATAGTGTTTTTCTTTACTGAGCCTATTATTTTGTAAAATGCCAGCCATTCGCGCATGGAAAGAGCCCGAACCCTCGTGGCAATAAGCTATGGGGTGAACCGCCACAAACGAACCCCACCACCGTCACCCTGAACGGGGGCGTACTTGTTGAATAAGTTTGGAAGATATGCTGTTGATTTGTTAAGGGATTGAACACTCTCCCTTATTGGAAAAATTGAAGTGTTTTTTACTGGTTTGAACAGAAATTTAGGGCATTTCTGTCTTTTCGAAGATGGAGGAATGGATAACGTTGAGTTTCAGAGAAAGATGATGGCCTTCTAGCGGTGAGTGAAATTAGCGAGGATTGTAATTTTTTCCGCGAGGAAAAGAACATATATTATTTTTTAGCCCAATCTGTGTGATGGATGTGATTCAGCAGTCACAAAACTTCACATTACTACGCACAACTATACCCATGCGTACATGTTTGCCGATCATTTGACAGAACAGGGAAGTAAGCTGTTAATACTCATCAGTTAAGAATGGACCAGATGCAGAAAATCATTAATCGCATTAAAGAGGAGACTGCAGAGCTGCGAGAGGTAAGTTTTTGGCTTTTTATCGTCTTGCTGCATAGAATATTTAGTACCAGATTAGTCCCCCGTCAACCGCCGGGACCTTCCTATCCTGCGCAAGCTTTCTATCCTCCGCTATGGTCCCTTCCTCCTGTGACACCAACACCTCGTGGAAGTGACGCGTATGCAACACAATGGTGTTTCATACAGTAGAAGGGACACAATCATGATATGACGGTAGATTTTTCGCTTCCCTTCCTCATCCTCCCTTCCTCTCTCCACTGCCCTCCAGCTGCCACTGCAGCACCATGTGGAATGAACGGAAGTGTGCTAAGCAGGTGTTTATATAGCCCTAAGAGTGTTGTCACAACTATCCTGCTACAAAACATTGATATCTCAATCGCCTAAACTACCGCGATATGTTATCGGTTTGTTTATCCATGAGCTTCGCTTCTCACTCACTTCATTTTGCGGACGGAACACATCACCATACAACACACACACACTCACACAACACACACATACAGATACCACAAACCGACACACAAAGTTAGCGCTTTATTAAATAGAAGGATTCTGCCAAGCTATTTCAGGGCGATAGTAAGGATCGCGTGGATAATTTGCTTACAGATTAAAGTTGTAGCAGTTACTTGAGTGATTGCCTATCATTTATTCAATTGACTAATAAGGGGTGAGAAGCTGAGGGATGGGCAGAGAGTCCAAAGACTGGGTGCTCGAGGAGGACGAGGCGGATAGAAGACTCCCGTTCTCGGCTGGCAGCTGCTTAAGCGCGTTACGATAGATTTCACAGGGGTTTGAGTGGACAATAAACCAATAGATAATAATAATATAATAATAATAAACCAATAAATAAATAACACCTCTTTGATTGCCCTTTCATTTTCTTTTTTCGACCTGATGAGCGACGGTGAAGAACGACGTTGTTCAGACGTGTTAACCTCGATGGCCGCCATCTTGCCAACAAGCATAGTGTACTGATTGATAACGCAATACGTGGGCAAGTTGGAAGCTACAGCCGCTAGAAGGTGAATGATCATCCAAAATGAAAAGCCAACAGCAAACAGCCCATCCAGATCATCAACAGAACAAGTGGGCGTCACGTCGCATAGGGCGCGGCGTCGCACGGGTCCTGCTCAGCAACCGCGGCACCTTCCGCCGTGGGAGGGCCACACATCTCTTCCTTGGCGGCCAAGTAATTGCTCCGTGTGACGCAGGGTCTTCCCTGATGGGAAAATTCCTTTGCGTAATCGCTTCCTTTAAGTAGGCTTCCATGCCGTTGCGTCATCGTGCTCGCTACGCCACGTCTCATAGCTCTCCCCGCCTGACGGCGTGGACATGACAGCGAATCGCTAGCGAATCGCTGGTGAATCGCTAGCGAATCGAGCGAGTAGCTACTCGTATCGCAAAGTATGACGTCGGCCTAACATCGCGCGGTTTGGCATTTCAGCCCGCGCCCCTCTGTTGTTTATGCCGCCCCGCAACCTCGCAGTTTCCTGCTCGATTGGAAATTTCATAAACCGGCACAGCAACTATCGTTTCTGAAAACTAGGATTATTCGCTATAGAGACTCCAGGTCCACTCATGATCGGCGTGGACCTGAGGTTCCAGCAGCCAAGAACGTTTCGCGTGCGTAAAGCGGAAAAGCTGCTTCCTGTCCTCTGAGCCCTACTAAGGTGAAATGAGATAATCCGTCCAAGTTCGGCAATGGGTACCAGGCAGGTGGGTGTAAGTGTGGGTCACGTTCTCTCTAAACAAGATCGTGAACACTTCGAACTTCGTGAGAGCCGAGACTACAAATAAAGTCGACTAAGGATCTGATCTTCTTATTCTTTGCCCGCTTGTAGGCCGGGTCCGCTTTTCTTATATGGTGACGCCACTTTCCCGATTAAATGCTTGATCGGGGTGGATATTAAATAAATTCAAGTCTTCGTGCAACGTATCGAGCCATCGCTGCTTTGAGCACTCCCTAAGTCGCTTTTCGGCACGTCAAGGTTGAGACCGATCTTACAGACACTGTCACCTTTCGCGCGAAGGACATAAACTTACCATCGAAGACGGGCTTCGCGCACTCGACGATTGGAGCCACCCCGAATCGCTTTCTGATGACATCGTTCCGAATGTGGTCTACTCGTGTGGCTCTGGCTGTCCAGCGCAGCATCTTGGTCTCCGTCACAGTGAGCCGTGCTTCGATCTCTTTGGTCGCAGGCTAGCACTCACACCCGTAAGTCGCGACCGACCCGATGACGGTCCTATAGATCTTAGATTTGAGACGTTCTGCCTGTTTCTATCGCAGAGAACGTCAGTCATCAAGCGCCATTTCGACCATGCTGATTCACGCAAGAATTCGTTTCAAAGACCAGGCTGCCGTCAGACGCAATTGCTGATCCAAGATACTTGAATGATGTTGCACGAGTGAGTTCAGTACCATTGTTCTTAACAGAGCCTAACTCACTCGAATCGGTGATCAAGTACTCAGTCTTTTTGAAGTTCAGCTTGAGCCCGAACATAGCTAGACGGACGGACCAGGCTTGCACCTCTCGAGCGTGCTTTTAGCTTCGCTAGCGAGCGTTACGTCATCAGCATAAAAAAGCGTCCATGGAGCCGGCTTCTGGAGATCTCTCGTAATGGCATATAGACAGAAGCATTAATATGCTGGACAGTGTAGTAGTGAAATGGATAATGTAACATTGCGTAAGAGGAGCTGATAGGACGCTTCTAGGAAACAGAGTATTGAGTCAAAGCTCTTATTGTCAGTTTCTTGTAAAATAATGTTCAACTTTGCAGGACTTGTTGTTCGTTCCACTACCACGCAAAACCTTACGGTCTGGTATGAGTTCTTGCTGTCCAACGGAGCGATTGCAAAAGCAAATTGTTTATGCAAATACTCATGCTTAAAGTGTTTATTTGGAAGAATTATTGACAAAAATCCGTTACTTATGTATCAAAGCTCTTCGCGGTGTAATAGAAACACACCAAAGTTATTGACGGTTGTGGTGTTCGCGGTGGAATATAGAGAAACGCTACTGAACAGCTTCAAAAAAGACAGATGGCAGAAATTAAGTTTTTCGAAAACATGCTATGGCCTTAGAGAAGACTAATTTAAGGTAAAAGTTCGTGTTGCCCATTGAAGATACATTGTGGATGAGCTGGTCCTATGAGGCAACTCTCACTTCGGACATCTGAGAGGTGACGGTGCCTGCAGTGCTGGCTCCACAGGATTGTAGCAGTTTGACGACCTAGAAATAGTAAGTACGCTCAAGTAAATGATAAGAATGTTACGAAAAAGCAAACTTCTGTCATTGTAGCTCTGTTCGCTGGATTTTTCGCGAATACTCGTTCCACAAAGAATTTCTTCAGCTTTTCTGGCGTACATTTTGGAAAGGTCACGCATTTGCCCTCAATCACCTGAAGCTTATATTTCTAATCACTTCAAAAAGACTTTTGATGTATAAAGGCGACTAACCGCCACTTTGACTTCTGCATTAGTTTGTCCATCCCACGGTTCAGCGCCGTCTGCAAAAATTTCATACACCATCACTCCAAAGCTGAACACATCCGTCTTTAGCGAGAATACGAATGTGGTGATTGTTTCCGGTGCAAGCCATTTAATAGGTAGCTTCATTGCTGTCTTCAGTTTGTACTGCACACCCAGTCGCGAAAGCCCGAAATCGCTGATTTTCACCTAAAGAAAGGAGAATGGAAAGCAAGCACCGGAGCATGTCGTAATATTGCATTTTCGGGACTCAAGTTCATAGGGAAGACAAGGACAATTCAAAGCCGCTGGTAGGTGACTCTAGGACTAAGCCCAGGAAAGGGGAAGATTATCAGGGAGAACAGAGGTTGCTCACAGTTTTCCCCATTTCCCATCCCTGAGGCTTAAAACTAACTACTCCCATGATGAGTCACTCATTTCAGTGTACCTTTCCTCCCTGATGACATAAGCGCCCATTTTATTTCTGACGATGAGTTCGAAGATATTTATTCCGATAAGGGTTCTGCACATCGGGGGAGAATATGCGCAGCGAGACTACCAAGGGGGCGAAGTGTCGCGCTTTTACAACAATAGGTGTGCTGGTTGCTGACTGGGAAGGATGAAGGGTCGAAGTGGCCTTATGAAGTGAGGCAAGTATCATGGTATGTGTTTTCGTTTCTTTTCGAACGCTGATCTCGAATCTTCTCTTCCCGATCTGCCAAACGATTCGCTGAACGGAGCTACTGAGGTTTTTCGTTCCCTCACACAGTTTAACACAGTGAGTAATCGGCTTCGCAGCAGCGAATCGTGAACGAACCAGTGAGTCCTTTTCGTCGAGTGCTGATGGCCTAGTGGTAAGGTGGTAGCCTTGGGACTTCCGGGTCAGTGGTTAGGATCCGTAGCGTGCCTTTTGCATTTTTTGCGACTGAATATTTGGCAGTAGGAAAACGTGATTCCTTCATCAATGCTCAGCCCTACTTGCTTTTGGATGAGTTTGAGGTCTATAACTTCGAAATTTTCCCTAACTTGCGTGCGACTACGTAAGGTTAAGGCGCGCCAGTATACGGAGCGCGGGCTTCAGCCGTTTTGAGTGAGCGAATGTGAGATTTGTGTTCAAGTAGTCCAATAACTCCTGAGGCCAATTTCTAGAGAAATTTCGAGACTCTGAATTAACTTCAAAAAAGTGGGCAAGTCACTCATATGATGCTACATATCCATAGACGGTAGTTCCAGGGTTGACCTATTTCGGACGACAGCTGCCCTTTGAATTTGAGAATAATAAAATTTGGGTGTTGAAATCATGCGAACAGAAAATCAGACACTGCTTTACACTCTTCAGGAACCAAAAAAACTTATATCGTCTCAAGGCTATATAGGCTTCGATGATAGGCTGACGGATGAATGGAGGGCTGAAGCCAGCTTGACAGGCTGAAGCCAGCTCATTTCGAAATTTGGTCGAAATCTCCAATCTAGCTACAAACTTGTCCCTAGGATAAAGGATAAAGGATAAAGCATTTGCCGTTGATCAATCCCTTTTGGGATGCGGCACGCATCCCAAAAGGGATTGATCAACGGCAAATGCTTTATCCTTTATCAGATAAAGCCAGATTCGGGCGAGCTGTGTTAGCCTTTCATTGTGAAAGATCATCCATTTCGAGTGGCTGTATCTTCTAATTGCCTATGTAAGGCGTTATAAATCGATGTATGATGTCTGTTGGTGTGATGGCGGTTATGGGGATTAACACGTCCGAAAGTCCCTTATCTTGGCCGCCGCACGTCCATGGTTAGAAAATGGATGGGACAAACAAGGTCGGGATATATTGCGTATTCTTGATGGATACCACTGCCATTGGTGTACCATTGAGCACCCCATGTCCCTTATGAACCTCTCCCGAACTCGCTGTAATCACCGTCTTTAGGGAACAAACACTTGGAGGTACTGTTTGTTTGAAGGAGAAAACTAAAAACTAACTGAAACTGAACGCAGACTATGAAAAAACGCGTACTATGCGGTCATGGGTTATGAGACAGTTTCTTGCTGCCAAATCTCGATGCATGCACTGATTATTGTGCAAGTACTCCACACCCAACGCAGCTCCAAGGCACATGTCCAATTTGTCCTTCACTTCTACCTTGTTGCGTTCTCCTTCAGGAACGTATTCAGCGCACCACCTGTATAAAAGGCACATTGGTTGCATTGGGAGTCGGTGCATCTGCGAAAAATACTTTTTTCAGACCACAGTTCTTTCAGTACTGAAAATTACTCGATATCTTTTGAGCACGTCTCTTCCATATGTTTGTGGAAATGATATTCAAAGGGAAAGCCAAAGTTTAACATGGGGTTTTTATTTATTTTATTAACGTGGTCCGGAGCCAATGTGTGGATTCCCGCGCACAAGTCGTCAACACATTCGCAAGTCGAGTTACTGCATCGCAGCGGGGTTTTATTTGATGGTTGTGAAAAATTATGATGCTTAACAAGCAAGTTATTTAGAAATAGTAACGTAGGTTACCAGAGCAATTTGAAAGCTTCCTAAGACGTCGCTAGATCACAGAAGGCAAGAGAGGGGATACATATAGCTGAGCCACCGCTCACCAAATAATGTCCTATGGCAAGTGGCATTGCCGCCACGGTCTGGGGGTCGGATCTTGGGCGCATCGAGTTCTTCACCGCGTCGATCGTTCCCCTTAGGAAAGAACCACCTTTCAAAGCCCTTGATATGTATACCAGGGATTGAAAAATACTCGTATAAGTAGTTCGCTCTCAAAGATGCTGTGCCCTCCGTGGTCAGCTTCTCAGCAATCATCATGAATTATTGGGTTCCTCTATATTCTCTAGTACAGTTTTGGCACAGATATCCATTGGTGGAGTTGAGGTTGGGCAGTACGTCTAGCCTACCAATTCTATTATTGAAGTTACTTTATCCTGTCATTAAACTTCAACGGAGAATAAGATTTCAATGAAAGTCAGTTATCAGGAGAGAGATTCGAGTATGTGCAACGAAGTCTAGTATGTATTCAGATCAAAATGCGAATCACCTTTAACAAGTTCAAGAATGATGTAGAGAGGTTGTTCATCCACCGCAACTCCATAGATCCGCACAACGTTTCTATGCTGCAACGCAATAATAAGTACTTATCCTTCTGGAAGGTCTTTCACGACGCGGAGCGCATTTCCACAGTGGTTGATGCCACCATATAAACGCGGGGGGGGGAGGCAAGAGAAGAATCATTTGACCCATGGCGCACATCACCAAACTTTTTGGTGCGCAGGATGCTGTTCTTGATGAGTTTTTCAGAATATTCCATAACTTCAGTAGCTGCGTTCATGGTACACGGAAGCACTGTTCCTGAAATACGCTCCGAACGCTAAGAGGGGGATGAAGAAATGCGCGGTTGCAGAAACAAGCTTAGCTGCTGACAATGATGGAGCGGAGATTTGTTTTGGTCAGTCGCAGTTAGGTGGATCCTTAACTCCTCCACAGACCATACTTCTTGCCAACAGGTTACTTGGTATCGAGCTCTTGTCTACGTTGTTCGCTGACGTTCGGCGGGCGTCACAGAATTCCGATTTTCTTGGAAACTCCGTCATAGAAATTAAACGCTCGCCTTTGCAGGAATGACATTCGATTTTGGTACCACATGCGTTACTTCAACCCCACAATTTTTTGGACTAGTGTCTGGTTAAAACCAATTTGGAGGTTCTTGACGGCCCTGAACATAAACGGCACCTATTCTTGGCGCTGGCGCTACTCGGCTCCAGCTGGAGAGGTCAATCGTGTGCGAAAAGTGTCTTTGCAAGGTGTAAATTCCCGATCCGGTGTTTTTGCATCAAAGGCCTTTTAGATTTAGAGAGACGATCGCAGAGGAAGCAAAAGCAATGAAAAAACACGCTCCTCGTTTTGAAAGATTCTATTTTGAGCACAGACTTCTAGAACCTTAAAAATAGTGCACAGTTTACCCTGAAATTTCTCATCAGCCTTGCCTCCTTCATCATTTCTTTGATCTTCGCCTTCCCGATATCCGAACATCCTTTGGTCTACAATCCAAATGACGAACATTAACTTCTTAAGCAGATGGTACCATAAGTTTGATTATACAGTTTTAGTGCTTCTGTTCGAGCCTCCGAGATTATTTCAACATTACTCTCAAGGTGTATTCCTATGATCCTTACCAGTACTTATTGTTACGTCCGACTTTCTGCTATCCCCATCTGTGCGACACCCACTAATGCAGGCACTTCACTATTCACTGTCAAACTAGTAATTCTTACACTCTAATGTCCTTATCAGTTCTTATCAGTTGTTATCATTTTCTGTCAGCCATCATGTGGTGTCCCATCCCAGCAGTATTACTTCAGTCTGTAGCCAAAAGGGAGTTGCCACGCAGAACGAAGGTTTTGGTGGAACAGGACAATATGCAGTGTATTGATTAGGAGGAAGTTTCTGTGGATGATGGAGATCCTCATTACAGCATGTATCAGAGACAACTCTAGGATGACCTCATGCGAGGAAGAACCACCAGGAAACTGGAGCAAGGAGAATTCATAACGAGTGTGGTTAACATGTTGACGACATTGTGCAGCGCATGCGCTTCACACCTTGAGCACCACGTGGGACCATGTGCAGCGCATGCGCTGCACACATAAAGTATTTATTTTTTTCGTCGCATGCGCTACTTCTTTTCTAATTTTTTGCATCTATTCCATAGACTACACCATAATATAACTAGACACCACGAGGTTCATTGAATGGTTGAATATGCTCCTTTTTAGCGAAGGTTTTCTAAGCCCTACGAATTTCCCAATTGTGTTCATTCCTAGTTTCCTTTATATTCTGATAGTCTTGGTCATAAAAAAGAGCAGTAGAAGTAAATACAGACCCACACATGTAGCAAGACGTATGTTGTTAGTGGAGCAACCGCGTCAAAGTAATTTTGAGGTCATTGCAGCAAAAGCAACTCAAACTTGCCTTCCATCGCCAGAAAAGTCAATTCGATTTGTTTTTTTTACAGTTGTCCCTTCTGATAAGGTTGACACATCGAATATCATTCTGAACATTTTGCTGCATCCGAGTTTTGGGTATTTAAAGCTCAAAATTCACGGGTTTGATGTGAGGCGGCGGCGCCTGCAAAATCGCCGTGGTCTCACGCGGCGCAAAAACCTAAAACGCGCGTTGTCGTCAACGTGTTAAGGAGTTTGATGTTGCTTACACTACTGCTTTGTGCGCCTTCGGAGCGATATGGGTTACATCCACTGCTGCCCCTATGGTGGATCATGAACAACCGCAACCGCAGGTGATTACTACGTTTTGTACCAGGCAGGAAATGACCTACGTCAGTCACAGGCTGCATTTACAAAAATATTTATCAGAATCGTGAACGTAATGCCAGCCCTGACAGTAGCATAGGTCTCTGTGACCGACCAAAATAGTATATGATGTTCTTTCGAGACCCGCGCATCGGCGGGAACGTTCGCTAGGCGCCAGAGCATTGGCGATGGGCTACCGATATGGTTGATGCGTGCTCTTCAAATTGGATGTAAGTGGTGGTTTTGGACTTATGCGCATGTGGCGAAAATAGGAACATGTGATGGACCCAGGACTATCTTTCAACGTGTTTCTTCTGATAGTCTATTCGATATGGCGTGGGAAGGCATAAAGTTGCCGGGGCGTACTGATCCCCGAAACGTGATCGCGGCACACTTTTTTTATCACCCTTAGTGTGACGCTGTAACTCTCACTCTTTTCAAGGGTGCCTTTGACCTCCAATCGTATGGACGACAATATGCGAGAGCATCGAACAGCCCAGATGGGAAATTATTGGAAAGCGAGGATTTCTGGCGATTGGTGGTACCTGCCCCCTTTCCCAGTCAAATCCTAGCACGTGTGGCGTGCATTCAGGGAAGCTATTGTATCACATCCCTATGCGTCAGCAACTGTCCAGCAGTTGTCAGTCGTGGCTTCAAGGAATGGATCGCTTCTCCACAATAACTCTTTACCAATCTTGTGGCCAGTATGGAAGCACGTAGCAGCACGTAGCAGAGCATAGCATGCTTTGCAGTCCATAGTGTTCATAAACTCCATCAAGAACCAGCTCCTCTATTTTGAATAACTCTCACGAGTTGAAATGGCCTCACCCACCGACCGCTTTAGACAGGGTACTTGGAAAAAAATGCCTTCCGATTGTCCTGTTGGCTTTTCTGTCAGTAACTCTCTGCACTGTACTGCAACTGTACTGTTACTTCTATCTATGTGCAATTGGACCGACCTAGATGGGCTAGCAGTGAAAGTTCCGTCCTAAGGATTTGCACACCAGTGTATTATTGGAACAAAATCTGATTGACGGCATTTGTTGGGATATCCCCCAGTCGAAGGTTATTGGCAGAGCTTCTCTAGCAGACGAAGCCGGCCAAGGAAAGTGCTCCAGTGGACGATCTAATAAATGTGCTTTATACGCACGCCGTGAGATCACATTTTGTTTCAACTTCTGCTTGGCGATTAATTCCCATCTGGTTAGTTTGTGCTGTTTTCCTCGGTTTTTTTCCCTTCAACACATAATGTCACCTCATAAAATAAGCGAAGGGAAGACCAGTAATGGTGCCGATTTACTCACAACTTTTATAGCGACTTCTGCTGTCCGCCCTGATTTCAGCTTCAAGGTTCCAGCTCGAACCTCGCCAAACGCTCCTTCTCCCAACAGTTTTCCTTGTTGAACATCGCTGTGGTTGTATTCCCAAGGTTGTTGTTTTATTGGGTATTTCAAAATAAATGATATCTGGAAGTCATCCGGTGAAAGGATGATGGAACCGTTGAGTAGGATCTGATGATACCTTATTTAGCTTTCCTGGTGTTTCTCGATAGTGTTTTATAAGTTGCGGGATTGACTCAAATAACCGCGCCACCTCAACCAAGTACTTGCCGTTCTTTCTCCTCACAATAACATTTTTAAGCTGAAATCATGTCATCTGTCAACTTTAATGCAAGCCTTGGTGTAAACTCAGATGAGGAGTTCAGGATGGGAGAGTTTGGGATGAGAGGGGAGCGAGAACGGAAACCATCCGGCAGGACTTCTGTCCGCGGCTCGACTTTTCCATGGTACTCATTTTTCCAAAAGAAGGATCATCGCCGTTGGACATGGGAGTCCCCGAATGGAACAACCCATGCCGAGTTGGACCACATGCTTGCGAACAGAAAGTGGTGCTTAATGGATGTTGCTGTAGTACCTTCTTTCTGCAGGGGTTCAGATCATCGCCTCCTTCGCGCCAAGATCAGGTTCAATCACAAGCTGGGGAAAATCTCTCAACATCACGCAAGGAGCGAAGCAGGTCGTATATGACGGCGAAGTTCTGAACGACGCACTCTCCAGTTATGACTGGCAGGTCATGGAAGACCCCACCGAAGACTACGACGCTCTGCTTCACGACTCACCACATGTGCTGAACGGGCTAAGCTTCCTCGACCAGATAACACGCGTCGCATCTCCGATGCGACAAAAGATCTGCTGAAGACAAGAAGAAATCTGAGGCTTAATCCAAACGCCACACACCTTGAAAGACCGCAGGCTAATATCAGCTGCAGACACGTAAGGATCTTCGGCAATACAGGCAGCAGAGGCAACTAGAGGCAGCGTTGAACAGAACAAGTCTAAGAAAATGCAGACGGGATCTCCAAGACCATGCTACTCCCCTTGCGTGTCTAAAAAGGGAAGACGGAACTCTTGCAAAATCCCGGCTCGGCTGGAAGAAATAACGGAGATAATTTACAGCATACCGATTCACGACACATGTGCTAGACCCAGAAATTCCTACTGGAAAAACAACACCGCGAATTCTCCCTTCAGAAGTACGAGTTGCAATTGCGAGCATGGAAGAGGGCACGACTCCTGGTCCCGACAAAATCTCAACCGACTTGCTTCGTGCAAGCGGTCACCAACTTCATGCTCTTCTCGCTAACCACTTGACAATTTACCTTCAAAAGGAGAGGATCGCAGACCGGTGGGGGAATTCACGCATGATCATCCTCCATAAGAAAGGGACCGTGATGATCTTCGCAACTACCGTCCAAGTAGCTTGCTGAGCATTCTGTACCAGCTATTCACCAAGATCATCCTTATGCGGATTTTGCGATCACTGGATGAAGCGCAACCTACCGAGCAAACCAGATTTTGGCAGGGATTCAGCTGCTTAGACTACATCCAGTCAGTCGCCATGGTCATAGACGTGTGTCGAGAATTCCGAATGCCTCTTATCCCTACCTTCGTCGACTACGAGAAGGCTTTCGACAGCGTAGAAGCGAACGCGGTCCTGTCAGCATTAGTCGACCGAGGAGTGGAACCATCCTACATAGGAACACTGGCCGACTGCACTGCAACGATGCAACTCTTGCAACGACCACTCACCATCCCTTTGGAGAAGGGCGTGAGACAAGGCGACACTATCTCGCCGAAGTTGTTTACAGCTGCGCTGCAATGGATAATGAAGTCGCTCCATTGGGATGAGGAGGGCATTTGTGTGGACGGACGGTAGCTTTTGAATATGCGCTTCGCCGATGACATCGTTCTTTTCTCAAGTAGCACTAGGAAAGCTGAGACGATGCTCGCTGAATGGAAGCTGAGACGATGCTCGCTGAATTGAATGAAGCAGGAAAGAAGGTGGGGTTGCGGATCAACCAAAAAAGACATAGTTCATGAAGAACGTTTGGTCCGATGAAAGCAAAATCAAGATTGACGGCCACCTATCAAAGAAGACACATCTTACGTTTGTCTCGGATGTTCCATAAACATGGACAACGGTATGAAGAAAGAGCTGGGAAGGCGACAGAGAGCAACATGGGCGGCCTTCAGCCCTCTGAAAGAAGTTATCAACCATCTGGCTGATCCGGAACTTCGTGCGCATGTGTTTGACTCTACAGTTCTTCCTGCGCTTTGCTACGTGGCTGAGACATCGGTGAGCAGCGCATCCACGTCAAGGACTTTGACTGTAGCTCACAGAGCGTTCGAGCGATGTCTTTTGAGGTTTAATCGATTTAATCAATATCGAGCCGGACTCCGCGGCGCAGACCTACGCAGAATGTCCCCCCTGTGGAGTACATGACAATCGCCAAGCTACGATGGGCCGGTCATATCATGAGGAGAGCAGATGACAGTGGACAAGAAGAACAGTATAGTGGGCTCCCGTAGAATCTTCGCTGTCTAAAGGGAAACCTGCTGGCCGAGATGGGGAGATGCACTCGTCGATCACATAAAGCAGCTGCGGAGCAGCTGAACGGTGCTTAAGATCGCCGTCTCCGCTGACTTCTACAACAACCACGGATGGCGATTGCGAAAGAACGAAACGAATGGTTTGTTGCTGGTGCTCGCAGGAGAACTGAGGACGAGCCGTATAAGAATAACTATAAATAAGTAAGTATAAAGTCTCCAGAATACTACGAAGATCAGCGATGCTGCGTGTCCAAACGCGAAGTTTCCTCCTCATACCGGACAGTGGCTATTGCCCCTACAGAAACAGCTGGTATGTCGTTGTTTTCCGACTTACCTTGCCACGCACCTTCTTCTCGTAGCCTTTCTTTCCTTGTGCCTCATCTTCTTTTTCGTCAATGTGCTGCACACGTGAAACTTCTCCTGGAGGGCACTCACATACGACCGACAATATAATTTCTCTTTTACCTTTCTGGTGAGGATCATTGTCGACCTGAAACCCAAAGAACAGAGATAGGTTTGTCAGGGAATTAATTACAGCGATGTAGATCGCTTTTGCATCTTCTTAAGTATTGGTAGCGTGGGGAAACGCGACGCTAAGAAACTAGACTATGTGATCGAGCCGTTCACATGGCGGAGGGGTTGCGCCTTGTCTACAATCACATAAAATACTAAAACCCTCCACTATTGAGGTTAGCATCTATCCTACTTACTATAAAGCGCTTCGTCTGTCGTCTGTCTGTCGTCTGTCTTTCGTCTGTCTGTCGTTCTGTATATCTGTCACGAAATTCCCTAGCTCCTGGGGATCCGCCTGGAGATATCGGGTCAAGTGTGGGATGGGTGGGCAGGATCTCACGAAGTACAAAACACGTGTCAGCTAAGCGGAGCCCCGCCCACAGAGGGCGTGGCGTTCTCCAAAAAAGCAGTGCTTTATGAAAAATTCCATAACTCGGTTGGGGGAAAGCAAACAGAGCAGAAAACAGATCGGTGTCAGGGAGCAATGTCTAATGTGTTTCTTGCACACATGACGTGGGCGGAGGCCCGCTTAGAATGGGCGGGCGCGCTCTGAAGTGAACGGCATTTTCTACAAGTCCTCATAATTCGGGATGGGGAAGTCTTAAAGAGCCGGAAAAGGTGGATAGAGGTGTATGGAGGAGTGGAGGCCAGCTGTCAATGGTAGGCGGGGCTTGTCCGAAGTGGGCGGAGTTTGCGACGAAAATTCATAACTCGGCTTCAATAAGTTCCAGAGGCCGCGAAAAGGTGGATAGAGGTGGGTGGAGGAGTAGAGGCCAACTGTCATCGGTGGGCGGTACTTGACCAAAGTGGGCAGAGTTTGTGACGAAAATTCATGCCTCTGCTCCAAGAAGTCCCGGAGGCCGGGAAAAAGGGAGTAGAAGCCGGCAAAGGAAAGGAGGTTAAATTAATCGGTCAGGTCACTTAATTGGGCGGAGTTTGTCAAAAAAGTGTAGCAATTCGGTTCCAAAAAGTCCTAGAGATAGGGCAAAACGGGGTTATAGGTTGGCGAGGGAAAAGAGGTCAACCGCTATTAGTGGGCGGAGCACGCACCTAAGTGGGCGGAGTTTGCTAAAAAAGCCGTAACTTGGTCCAAGAGACCGGTGAAAAAAGGGGTAGAGGTCGGCGAAAGGGAGGGGCCGAATCCTATTGATACGCCGGGCACGCACCGAAGTAGGCGGAGTTTCCCACGAGATTTATTGTCCGGAAGCAGTCCGGAGACCGAGATAAGAGGATAATGGTTGACGAAGAAAAAAAAGGTTGAAAGCCGCCTATGATGGAGCGGATTGAATTTAGCTGAGAATTCAGATATTTATAGTGTATCAAGCCAAATATGAAAATTTTCGTCGCACCATCAAAATTCGCCGCAGATCTGTGTTGCGCGCGCAATGCGTGCGGCGCCAACTGGTATATACATAGCAGAGGATTGGTATTTTAGTAAGTTAGTTTGTTAACGGCAGATTTGTTCGCTAGGTAGATCTATGAAGTGTTAGAGCTGGAGCATGACCAGTGGGTGGAGAATTATTGTATGGCATGCAGGGCTGAGGTGAGGCTCAACCGGTGTCATCACTTCTCAGTCATGATAAGGGCTGGACACCCAAATAGCCTGAGGCTGAGCCGAGGCCAGGCTGAGTTGGTGCCGCACGCATTACGCGCACAGCACAGCTCTGCGGTGATATATGTAGGGTGGTGCGGCGTGATTTTTCGAAGTTGGCCCCATACACTCCGAATAGTCAAAGACATTCAAACTTAATTCTATCCGATTGCCTCATGCTTCATCGCTTGGCTTTTGACCTTCCCTCCTTCCTCCACAAATTGTCCGTAATCGTCAACCAATTGCTCGTTTTCCCGGCCTCGGATTGCCTCCAAACCGATTTATGAACCTCGTGGTGAACTCCGCCCATTTCATTGCATGTCCCACCTATCCCTTTCTTCTTCGCCAACCTCTTCCCACTTGTTACCCAATCTCTGAACTATCCTGAGCCGATTTATAAGTCTGGCTGCGAATCCGCTCTTCTGGTGTATCCTGCGCACGCCATCAAAATTTTCTTCCTTTCCTTCGCCCACTTCCGTCTTCAGGACTTCTTGCAGCCGAGTCACAAAGTTTTGTGGAGAACTTCAACCACCTTGGAAATGCCCCGCCCACCAACAGCAGTGGCGCTCCACTCCTTCACCCACCTCTACCCACCTTCTTCCCGGTCTCTGGGACTTGTTGGAACCGAGTTCCGTCGCAAACTCCGCCCACGTTGGTGCACGCTCTATCTATCAATAGCAGTTGACTCCCTTTCGTTGACGGACTCAATTCACTTTTCTCCCAAACTCTAGGACTTCTTGAAATGAAGTTATGAATTTTCGTGGATAACTCCGTCCACTTTGCCCATGCCGCGTCCACCGACGACAATTGGCCTCCACTTCTCCACCCACCTCTATCCACCTTTTTCCAGTCTCCATGATTCCTTGGAACCGAGTTACGAATTTCCGTCGCAAACCCCGCCCAATTTGCCCATGCCCGCCTACCAATGACAGTTGGCCTCCATTCTTTCATCCACCTTTTTTCGGCTCATTAAGACTTCTCCGGCCCGAATTATGAGGACTTGTAGAAAAACTGTACAATTCAAAGCGCGCTCCGCCCATTCTGGGCGGACCCCCGCCCACGTCACATATGCTAGGAACGCTTTAGACATTGCTACCGACATCAATTCGTTTTCTGCTCTGTGTGCTTTCTCCCAACCGAGTTATGAAATTTTTCATAAAGCACTGCTTTTTTGGAGAACGCCCCGGCCACCAGGGGTGGGTCTCCCTAATTCGATATGACTTACTAATGCACACCTTTACCCACTTTTTGACCCAGTTTCGAGGTTTTTGTTATCAGTGAACTTAAAATCTTGGTCGTCAGTACAGTTCATTTCGATGCACCCCACGCCCACTGTGGCCGGAGCTCCGCTTAGCTGATGTGTGTTTCATACTTTGACCTCGAGGAGCTAGGGGATTTCGTGACAGACATACAGAACGACAGACAGAACGACAGACGAAGCGCTTTATAGTAAGTAGGATATTGAATTCACTGCGTACAATCAATTCCAACATGCCATGTCCACCGGACCGCCTACTAGCACAGGTATATATACCGCCCTGTTCTGGGAGGTATAAAGAGCGCGATCCGGGCAACAGTGGCAGTCTTCCACTCACGTGTCACCTCGGGTTTATTTTCATTCAACTCCTCTCTCGTCTCTCTCTGGGGCTCCGCCCTCTCATTAAGCGACTACGGTCGCACACCAACCACATTAAAGGCAGCGATTACCATAGATCTAAGAGGAGTTCGAAGGGGACGTGAGGGTCTCAGTAGGTCGCCACGAAAAAAGCAAAGAAATCCGTCAAAAATAAGCAGAACAGAATCCCTTTGATTGCCCTTTCATTTTCGACCACGAATGAGCGACGGTAAAGAATGACGCTGTTCGGACGTGTTAACCCCGATAGCCGCCGTGATGCCAACAAACATAGTGTTTTGATTGATAAGGCATTACATGGGCAAGTTGGAAGATACAGCCGATAAAAGGGTAATGATCTTCCAAAATGAAAAGACAACAGCAGACAGCTCGCTCAAGTCGCCACCTGAACAAGTGGGCGTCACGTCATTGGGGGAGGTGAGTCACGCGGGTCCTGCCCAGTAGCCACAGCACCTTTCAACGTTGGAGGGCCCCACATCGCTTCCTTGGCAGCCAAATAATTGCTCCGTGTGGCGCAGGTTCTTCCCTAATGCGAAAGTTCCTTATCGTAGACGCTTGCTTTAACTCGGCTCAACTTCCACAACAACGCCACGACGAACCTATGCCGGTCGGACTCGCCACCTCGTCAAGATAACAAAATAGCTTACACCAAAACACATAAACTAAGACACCAATAATACACGATGCAATAACAACTTCTGCTCTCTTTCCTCTTCTCCACTGCGTGTTTATTCATTGTTGTAGTAAAATAAATAGACGATTTATTAACTACTTGTACACTACCACTGAATCAAAACAACCGGTACGATAGTGCACATAATTTGCCCAAATACGGGTAAGACCGGACTTAAAGGAATTTTCCACGGAAGAAGCTCCGCCCTCATTACCACAGAAAACGATACCTTGAAGGAATCTTCCACGGAAAGAGTGATCATTTTGTCTTGTGTGTAGGATTAGTATTATCGAAACTAACCCTTATGTTTCGTTTTTTTGCTATGCTCATGAGGCTAGGGGCTTAAGGGGTATCGTATTTCTGTGATAATGAGGCGGAGCTTCCGTGGAAGATTCCTTTAAGCAGTCACAGAAATCCTTGTAATCATAGTTATCGTTCGGGGCCATCGCTGTCCGATAGCGCCCGAAACGGGTAGCGATCCACAGTATGGACCGGATCAATTTGTAGAGATTGAATTTCTGTGCATTGGTACGCTATCGATCGACCACCTGGACCGACTGCTCCTTTTGCTTGTAGAGTTCCTCGTGCGGGTGTTAGTGAGGTTTCCACTCGTCCATGTCGCTTGTCATAGTGCTTCAACAAGGGATGAGGTTTGTCAAGAAGTAGTGAAGATCAAGGTTGGGAAGGCGATTGGTCCAGGGAATCTGCCAATCTAGCATGGAAAGCGTACGGGATTGAATGGATCACCGGCGTCCAGAGCACGGTGCCTGCAAAAGATGGACACCGGATGCCTCGTCCCGGTCTTCAAACAGGAGAATGACTCGATGGAGCACCTCATTTAGCGCGGACCCAGTGGACTGCTCATAAAGTTAATAATTATATGAGGCCAGCCGTTGCCGCTTCTTGAGAGCTGTCTTTGCGGAAGAACTCGTTCAGAAGCCCTTCCACCCGAAGTACTCTCCCCACCTTCTCCGGACTTCGGCTGGCTTCTTCAAAATGGCGCCATTGCTGCTCTTCACGCTCTTCACCACCCTGATGTCCTGAGTAGCCCTATGCCGTGCTTCAGCCAGCCTGAATTTCTCT